TTTCCGTATTTGTTTTGGAATGCCTCCTTGATGTCACCCAGATCGATCTCCGAGCGGCTCACGATGATCCGGATCAGAGTTTTGTCCTTGGTGCCCAGGCCGGCCATCGAATCGTGGAGCCGCTCCGAGAAGTAATCGATCTTAGACTTGCAGCACTTGACTGGAGGAGAATACAAAAATAAGAAGGGATTCCAATGAGACGATGAATATATTGTAACTCACCGATGGCCAGGAAGCCCTTCTCCACGGAGCCACTGAACTCCCGTTTGATGGCCTTCTCAATGTCGTTGCCCGACAGGTTCTCGTACTCCAGAAAGATCTGGCGCAGCTGTTGGTAGGAGCGGGTGATCAAGATCGAGTTGAAGGTGGACTCGTCGGTGCCCCACTGTCCCTCGCCGGCGTCGTGAAGAGCCTGGGCATCGGCGATGGCCGCTGCCTCATCCACTCCCTGGTTCTCATCCCTGTTGCCCTGCACCAAGGACACGCACAGCCGCTTGAAGTGGCCACTGGTGTCGCCCTTCAGGTCGGATTCCAGGGACTTGCCGAAGCTCTGCTCGTAGAACTGGGCAATGGTCTTGATGCCATAGTTGGACAGCGTGCAGAGGATCTCGATGATGGCCTCCTCGTCGGTTCCCAAGCCCGAGATGGCGTCGTGCAGCTCCTGGGCATAGAACTGGGGCAGCGGCGTCATCAGCGCCATGATCACATCCTCGAACTTGCCACCCAGCTCAGACTTCAGGTCCGAAATTAGGTCCTTGCCGTACGAGGTCTTGAAGGCCTCAGCGATCTCCAAACGCTGGACGATGCCACGCCTGGCCAGGATCTCGATGATGGCCTTCTCGTCGGTGCCGAAGCCCTTCATTGCCTTGCGCAGAATGGCCGCATCCTCGACGGGATCAAAGGGATCCGCCGGGTAGACGGTGGGTGTGCACTGCAAAATCAAACGCCAAGTAAAAACCAATCAGCATGTGAGTAATAAGTGGGCAACCATGAATAATATGGTTTATTTTAATGCTTGGCACGTAATCCCAATAAGGGTGCTCCTGCTCTGACTCAACATTCGCCATCGGTATTCGTACTATATGTGGTTATTTCTGTTTTTTATCTCTCTTTTGCATAATTTCCTATTTAAATTTGTCATGATAATGTGGTTTTTAAGTTAACTTTTATGAGAGACTCTTGTGTACATATATCAAGCTTTCTTATCACTCTCTTTTCCTATCAGTCAGTAACTTGTTTTCAAAAATTATCTTCTATACTGTACATTATTTGATGATCATTTAATAGCCCAATTAGAGATAATTACTTGGCATCTGGCTGGTGTTTGTATGTTTCTAGATAGAAAAGATTCGCTTCTAGAATATTTTATTCTCGCCAAAAAAGAGAAATAGAGTGCCTTTTAAAATAATTCTTTGTACATGTACTTCACAATTTCAAAACCTTATCTTATCCATTATATTGTTTTGCTAATTACAGATAGAAAATTAGAATTAATAATTGTAATTCAGTTGTAGTTAAGTTTCCATTTGTCTATTGAGTTTGATAAGCTGCTTTAATAAATTAATGTGCTTGATCAAATGAAATAATTAACTTTGATGAATCTATAGCTCATCATCCAATACAATCCATTCTAAACTTACCTTGAATGGGTAGTACTCAGCGGAACTCATTTTGATTTGGTTGTTGTGGAAAATCTGTAAGTAGGAAGTAAGAATTAATAATGAATAATAGCTCAGCGATTGCTAGGAAGCCAAAAACGTGATAGAAAATTAACCCCCAGTGAGGCCAACCAGAATATAGCCCTCCGAGCATTAAGCCCGGCCTTTATTTTTGGGCCATGCCTGGTGACATCATCAACATCGTAAAACCCTCCCATTACGCATACTCCCCGTAGCCAGCCTGACGCTTGCCTAAAAACACTTTTCCCATTGATTTTTTCCCTAGTTTATTTACCCAGATGTTTATGTAGTTGTAGTTTCGGATTGGAGACCAAGCCAAGTTCAACGTACTACCGGGGAAAGTGAAAGTTACCACTTTTCAGTTGGGAGGAGGTGGAACGCAGAAATCGGGTGCGTCTGATAGCCAAATATCTTAGTTCAGGTAGTTTCGTGATAGACTGAACCCACACGAAATGGCCTTAGAAACGGATGAGCTCATTGCGTTCTGGTTTGAAAAACATCGGGCACGGCTCGTTTGTGGCCACGAGAAAGCTTCAGGGAAATGTCTTTCACCGTCCACTCCCCCTTTTTGTTCTAGACCTGCCCACTTAAGTTGTCAAAAGGGAACACTACCTCGAGGGATTTGCCACAAGCCTACATAATTACAAAAATCAATAGGTCCAAATGACTTTATGATAAATTGATTGAAATTTCTGATCGCTCCTGAATTAGTACCTAAACTACGGCAGAAAATATGTTTGCCTTTCTATGCTGCCGCCAAAGTAGAAAGTCAACAAAAGGCAGCTGAAAAAGACTTGACGTGGCGACGCTACAAACAGGCCAAACAAAAAAAAAATAAACAGAAACAACTACGCACGCCTCTGCAGTCAAGCTATAACCAAACAAAAATGTTTTGGACAAAGCTAAAACTGGTTCTTATATGTTTATGGTACACAGCTCCAGTCAAAACAATAGTATTTATTTAAGTTAGCATAACCATTATATGTTCGTTGAGTATCTCACTGTTATTGATTCGTTTATAAAGACAAATTTTGTGATTCATTTAAAGAAACTTAGTCTGTTAGAACACGATTGGAATTATCAGTGCTATTATTTTTACCTAAACTGTATCTGTACAGATTTCTGTTTGGAAACACCCTCAAGTTTAAATTTTTTTAATCCATATGAGACAGATGTGAATGGGGCTGGACACTGGAAAATGCTAGATAGAAGATGTACCCATGACGTATCTGATGATGTTTTTCTATTAATAGCTTTCACACTATCGTGGCTTGTGATACATTTGAAATTACAGCACTTTATGATTCACAAGACTTGTGACGTCAATTGGAAGATTTGAGCACGGCTTGAATAATAGAGATACACAATCTAGATTTATGGGAGGGAAAGCCCTGGAACTTTCCAGTTTCTCGCGACTATGTGTGAACAACTTCATAAACAAAAGCTTTAACTAACTTCTTTTGAAGACCCTGGTGGACTGTACCTTGATTATAAATTCAGAAATGCTTTACAATTGTAGAGGGCAATTTAGTCGGTAATAAACCTTGGTGACACACCTATTCTAGTATACTTGCCCGGCCTTAAATGCACTACCACTAGTTATATGAATGGAATGTGGAATGTGGCCACAACCGATGAGTAATGGAAACCCAAAGAGCTCTTATTCCAAAGATTTACCGTAACTGGAAGTCTCTATCAGAGCAATTGAAGTTGATTGAATTACTAAATTAAGCAGGGAAAATGGCACAAGAGAGGCCTTTTTGATGGACGCTTCTTCAAAGAATTCCGTTTCTCATCCCCATGTAAAAAAATAATCGAACAAAAGTCACACGCGTCTACGAATGGGGAGAGAAAACGCCATAAGAGAGCCGCTGCTGATGATGTCATCTCAGTTTTCGATTTTATACTTTTTGCTCTGCGATTCTTTTATTTGAATTGCGTGTAGAATTACGAAGTAAATAGAAACATTTCGTTTCACCCTCACTCTTAAGCAAGATTCTGGAGAATTCTTCTCATGCCGCGCCCAAAATTCTACAACACGCCCTTGGCACCAAAAATCTTTGATAGCTTAGCACACACTTTCTTTTCACTTTTCTAATTGTTTTTGCATTTGACTTTGCGATTTCTGGCGCAGCGAGAGTAAACAAAAAGTTTTATCTTCAAATTCCTATACATTTACCAAACGATATTTTTATTTTGCTTTCGAACGTACAAGTCAGGCGATGCGAGCTGCAAGCGATGTGAAAAAATACTTAAGCTTTTTGCGCTCCGCAGTCCCTTTTATACTGCCGCTCTCTCGTTGGAAAGTGATGGGAAGCGAAAAGCCGGCGATTGGGATCCAAGAGAGCCGGAGAGTTTTTAAATGTGGGGTTGTGGGATGTCTAGAAGCAGTCAAAAATGCCGTCCAAGTGTAAATACTTAGTAGTGGGATTTGAATTTAGTAGATTTCAGCAAATGCCGCCTTGGCTAAAAGTTTGGTGTCTACTACGCCTTAAATGAGCACCTGTGCCTCTGAAGCGTTGTGAGAACCAATATGAATCACCATTGGAAGCTGTTGAGACATCAAATATGACGAAAGCGCATTACGGGAGTTCAAACATTTGCACAGTGATAGTGACGACATTGAGAAAATAAAATTGATTACGCCTTTTATTTCAAAATATAACCTAATTATTTCACATGCTAATACAAAAGCATTGGTGCAATAAAAACGGTTTTGCATTTAAAAAAAACTTGTTATTAATGTTAATGGAAACAAATATGTGCTTAAATATATGTACATTTACATTTTATATTATTTTCTTATTGATTTGTTTCAAGCGAAAATGTAAAAATTATGAATTCGAAAATTCATTACAGAACTAATCACATTTATGTTGATAAAAAAGTGTATGTTTGTATTGTTTGTATTATATACCATAAAGAGATCGTTATCACTTACTATTTTACAATTAAAATTTTAAATAATCTTTCAACCTTTTTAATGCGAAATGTAACGGTTGAAAATTAAATAATTTGTTTGCAATATTTCTGTTTACAATTTTTCAAAAAAACGGAACCAATTTCAAGTGAACTATCACATAACCAGAATCGCGAACTAGTTCCCATTGCCCATTTTTTGAACCGAAAACAGCTAGATCATTAAGGGCATTCATGTTATAGTTGTATTTTTTTAGTAAAGAAACCGTATATTTTCTTGTTTTTTGCGGTTAGTGTGACCAGTGGCTGCTATCAGTACGCCCAGTCGAATAAGTAGTGCGGTAGTGCCATGTGCTGCCAGACTTTGGCAAATCGAAGAGAGTTTGAGAAGGTTGCCACATCGGCGGAGGACATTGTGCGTGTAAGTGTGCGTGAAAAGAAATTTAATAAACAAAGAGCTGCGCTCGCGGGCAGAGCACAAATTGCCTTGTACGCTCGTCAGTAAACTCCTTTCTCTTCACAGAAAATTGCAGCTACCAGAAAGCTCAAGCGGCACCAATTAAGCAATATCCATTGCAATTAGTCACCGGGCCGTGAGTATACACCACATTAACAGCGTCAGAAGCGTCTTGTTCTCGATCCGGCGTCGGCCCCTCCCTTCTTCGGCGTTTTGTGACCTGTTATCTTGGCCACGAATCGAATGAGAAGCCGGAGCCCCCTTAAAAACCTGCCCCGACCACTCACACTCGTTATGGTGTTTATCTACCCAGCAGATAAGGATAAGCGAGTAGTCAGTACCCGTTACCAGAATGTGGAAGGCAAGTGCCGGTCACCAGATACAGGCCTCCAGTGCCGCCTCCGCGGAGGACGATGACTGGGAGACGGATCCGGACTTCGTGAACGATGTCAGCGAGCAGGAGCAGCGCTGGGGATCGAAGACCATTGACGGCAGCGGCCGCACCGCCGGCACTATAGAGTGAGTCATCCGGTTTTCTTACGAATCGCAGTCTCGGGTTCATTGATCCCACTTGCAGCATGGACAAGCTGCGCGAGGAGACGGAGCAGGCCGATCTGGACAAGAAGAAGCAGCTGCTGAAGGACCAGAACGCGGGATACGGCTACGGCGGCAAGTTCGGCGTGGAAAAGGACCGTATGGACAAGTCGGCCGTGGGCCACGACTACCAGGGCAAGGTAGTCAAGCACGCCTCGCAGAAGGACTACAGCGATGGCTTCGGAGGAAAGTTCGGAGTGCAGGAGGATCGCAAGGACAAGTCAGCCGTGGGCTGGGACCACATCGAGAAGGTGGAGAAGCACGCCTCGCAGAAGGACTACGCCACTGGATTTGGAGGCAAGTTCGGCGTGCAGTCGGATCGAGTGGACAAATCGGCGGTGGGCTGGGATCACATCGAGAAGGTGGAGAAGCACGAGTCCCAGAAGGGTAAGATTCATTCTAAATTGCATTGCGCAAAGTTTCAGTAACTCTTATTTTGATAATAATCATTTTCCACATTCCAGATTACTCCAAGGGCTTCGGCGGCAAGTTTGGCGTACAGGAGGATCGCAAGGACAAGTCCGCCGTGGGCTGGGACCACATTGAGGCTCCGCAGAAGCATGCCAGTCAGGCCGACCACAAGGTTAAGCCCGTGATAGAAGGAGCCAAGCCATCTAATCTGCGCGCAAAGTTTGAGAACCTGGCCAAGAACTCCGAGGAGGAGTCGCGTAAGCGGGCAGAGGAGCAGAAGCGCCTCCGCGAGGCCAAGGACAAGCGGGATCGCGAGGAAGCCGCCAAGAAGACAGTGGCTGAGAACACACCGCGCACCTCGACGGACACGCCACCGCCAAAGGGTAGCAGGGCGGCCATTCAGACAGGTCGGACAGGAGGCATTGGCAACGCCATCAGTGCATTCAACCAGATGCAGTCGCCTGTATCGGAGACGCCACCGGCACGCAAGGAACCCATCGTCATTCCCAAGGCACAGCCTGTTAAAGTAGAAGCAAAGGAAGAGCCAGCGGTAACTCCAATTCCAGCGGCGGTTGTTGCTGCACCTGCTCCTGCAGTTGTCCCTGCTCCTGAGCCAGAGGCAAATCCAGTGCCTAAGGTTGCAGCTCCGCCACCGGATGTAGTTCCCCAGATTGAAGTGGAAACCGTGGACACGCCTCCCAGAAGCGAGCCGCCATCTCCAGTGCATGAGCCAACACCCCAAGTCCAACCACAGCCCCAACCGCAAGCCAATCCTGAGCCAGTAGTCGAAGAGGAGCCGCTGTACCAAAACCAGGCCGAGATTAAGGCCGCCTCCCCGCTGCCGGCCACGAATGGAGCAGCTTCCGAGGCAGTCGCTCCGAGTGCCGCAGCAAACGGGTCCCAGGAGGCCATCTATGCCAACTCTGACAATCTGGCCGACTACCTGGAGGACACCGGCATCCATGCTATTGCCCTGTACGATTACCAGGCGGCGGACGACGACGAGATATCCTTTGATCCGGATGACGTGATCACCCACATCGAAAAGATCGACGATGGCTGGTGGCGTGGATTGTGCAAGAATCGATATGGACTCTTCCCTGCCAACTACGTGCAGGTGGTGGGACAGAATTCTTAAATGCTTCCAATTGAAATTCGCGATAGAACAAAATCAAATTGTATTACTAACGAAAACTATAATACTGATGTTGGATTATAAAACCGTTTCGCTACTAACCTATTAATTTCGCGTGCCCCTTCCCCATCCATTGTTTCCCCTCTTCTCCCTCCAAATTATGTGCAACGAAAAGCTAGAGTTTGAAATTATTATTGTAACTTGTTATGCTAGCATTTTAACCAATCGAGGTATTCCATATTTTATATATCATTTACTGCATTTTACATTCTTTGTATTTAACACGTGTATTTGCCAAGAAAATATGCCAAGCTATTTATGTTTCACTTGAGCAATTTGTGGGCAAAACGTACATAATGCTCAATTCACATTTTATACTTTAGTTATGAAGTTTAATGTGTCAAGTAACGATTTTGCTCTATTTAAATTGTATAAAGTCTACGAGAGTTTCCCGCGTCATGTGAGATCTAATGTTGAAGACAGTCACAACAAAAAGTCTGCTCTTTTGATAAAGAAATACATAATTAATAAAGTTAATTAAAAACTCATTAAGAGTTATTGTTTTAATGGGGGACTGTCTTAGCCCAAAGAGAGTCTAAATGATCAAATTATACAAAGAAATCATACAATCTCATAAGTAGGAATCGCAACGAATATTTATTGTTAATAATTCAGAACGGCGTAAAATTTTATAAAACCCAATACTTAAATTTATTTTAAAAATGTTTTATTGAAAAACCTGAAAATTTAATTAGTTTGAGGTCTGAATTTACCATGGTTAATAGACATGTGCTACAATTTTTATTTATTTATATGTGACTTTCTGAATTATAAAATGCATTTGCGGCAGGGAACTTTACCAAGTTTGTTTGGAAACACGTTAGTTTGGTGCATACAAGATCTAAGTATTTGTATACATTAAGAACCTACCAATTTTTTGTCTAGTATGGGTCAATGCAATTGTCAAGGCCTTTCCATATGAAACGCATTTCTTATCAGCCGCTTATTAAGTGCAGTTTAATCTGGAAATATAGAGAAAACTACATGAACCCACTTACTGGTATGAATCATGGTATGTTGATACATGTGTATACATACATACATATATGGGTTTAACAAGGAAAGAGAACTTTGCATTGTGCTGATTTATCAGTTAAAAAACATAAGTTATAAATTTGAACGACAGCCAAAAAGAAGCGGCGACTTGATAAGTTGGTCGCGACCATTGGTCGACGGATCGCAATCAAAAGAAGTGCCAGACAAAATCAATGATACAGACCAAAAAGATAATTTATATATTTAATTTACAGCAGGTATTACGATAAAGTGTGCGTGCTGGTAACAGCGTGAGGAAAATTTAATTTTGATTGTCCATTGAATTGAAATGAGTATAGTACTAGTAATTTTCTATACTCACTCGACTAACGGTAATCCTAACCTGTGGTTAGTGATAAGAGAGAGAGAGAGAGGGAGAGAAAGAGAGAAACTGGCAAGGTCTTTGGACAAACCGGTATTTGAAGTGTCAAATTTAAATCTTTGGCGGCATTTCAGGTCACTCAAAGAATCCTAAGGCATTATCAAAAAATCCCCTTTCGAAAACCACTTTTCTCTCTCTCTATCTCTCCCACGCGCTCTCTCCCGCTCTGTGGCTGCTATCAGTACGCGAACTCGAATAAATAGGGGCTACGGGCAAATGCTATAGCCACTCGAAATCTTTGGTTGAACCATAAACTACTGTAGTGCCAGGTGCTGCCAGATTTTGGCAAAGCAAAGAGAGTGTGAGAAGGTTGCCACATCGGCCGAGGAAATAGTGCGTGTAAGTGTGAGTGAAAAGAAAGCAGCTGGTGCCCGAATCACAAATATTGCGAGAAAAATTAATAAACAAAGAGCTGCGCTCGCGGGCAGAGCACAAATTGCCTCGTACGCTCGTCAATTGCCGTTAACTAAGTCAACAATTGGCAGTCGAAGACGCCTTCTCTTCATAATTTTTTGTTGCTATTGTTTCTTTGTCGTGCCGTCCAACGTCACCGAATTCGTAAATTGGTCCGCGAGAAAAGCTCGGAAAATGCATTTATAAGCAGTAAAAAGTGCCGAGTCGCCTCTTCTTTTTGTTCTGAGTGATATAATAAAGACGAGGGGCTTCAATTAGTTATATCCACAGCTGCAAGTAAGCCCTATTTAAATGTAGGAAGTAGTGCTAGCCATGTTATCCAATAATTTACATCTCCATTAATATTTCGTGTTTTTACACGTGTGTGTGTGTGAGTGTGCGCAGGTGTGTGCTAATAACAAAACGTGCTCTCTTTCTCTCTCCCCCAAAACTCCCCCTCTCTTTTCTTTGCCGGCAAAGCGAGTGATGTATTATTGTTAAGATTAGTTCTTAGCCGTAAAAACAAGGTTTTCGCACTTTTAAATCCTCTAACAATAGCTTAGTTTCCCACAGGCAATTTCGTTTTATTGCCTGCGCACTCCCATAGAAAAAATTTAAGAACCCAATGAATCTTAAACAAAAAGCAAATAATTAAAGTTTCAAAACAAACGAATTAACAATCTGCTGCTGATAAGTAAGCTCTTCTATTTTCACATTACTGTTATCTTTGCTTAGAATTATGTTCGGTTTTGTTGTCAAGTGTTTTATTTTGGCCTGCTACTTATTAATTTGTTTATTCGCGCTGTCAGCGCAAAATGGTACGCAGTTTAATATATATTTTCTCGAAATAAACATAATTTTTTGTCAACACAAAAAGGAAAAAACTTTTAATTTGGACACTCAATAGCCCGCAAATTGTAGCAGATTTGGGTGTTTTTTTCGCAAAACAACTATCAAAATGTACGGTACATGATTTGGTACAAAAATGGTAGACGAACACGTAGCTAGCTGATTATATGCTTATCGGCTTGAATTCTGTTTTGGGGGCGTGGGTATTGCCGTACAACTGGGTAAACAGAGCGTAATGCGACATAAAATATTCCATTGAACTAGACACTTTCCGTTGATTCGTTACACTTTGCCTTAAAAAAGTTGCACCGAGCAATGGGCCCCATTAAAGCTCCATTAATGGCGCCTTGATTTGGTCATCTCGGTTGCTATATACTATACATACACCCGATTAAATGCCACATCTAAGTAGACATTTCGCGATGCTCTCGGGCTCTTTGTCTTTGTTTTGCTCCGATCCGTCCGTCATCGATGAATCGATGTGGAAAGCCTTATAGCAGATATATAGGCATCAGTGGGGCAGCAGCGCTTGTCAAGGTGAGCCACTTGGCTCTTTTTTCAACAATACATATGGTTTGAAGAGCTCTCGGCTGCTCAGGCATCCCATACAACCTGCACTTGTAATCGCTTGTATCAAATAAACAGAATACCAAAATTCATATCGATTTGCAGGTCAACAGTCTCATATTTCCGTACAGTTGTCTTGTTTTTTTTTTTTTTTAAAGATATATATTTGCTTAATGCAAATGTGTTTAAACAATAAATACTCGCTGTGGTAAATTGGATAAGAGAATTTCAATTACTGGACGGTTGAGTGGAATTAAATGTGAGTCACAAACCTCTGTTTTATTTCCTCAAAAAGGCTCACAAGTAAATACGACAATATGAAATTCATATTATTCCTCCGTTATCAGTTCCACCAATCAAATGCCTCTCAAACTATTTTTGTTTTTAATTTATGTACTTGCCACGCAGGTTGAATTATGATGAAATTCTCTTAATACGAAAAAGAATATATGTATGCATGCCAAGAAGTTATATGGTGCAGAAATCACAATCTCATATATCGCGAAATTTATTTGTTTGTTGTTTGCATTATGATAATGATAATTAAGTTGAAATCACAAGCAGATGCTCAATTAAATGGAAATTGTGAGAACTTTTAGCAGGTGAAACAATCATAGATTCACTTAGAACAGTCGGTACGAGTAGTGGACGGAAATGGGAGCATGTGTTTAATTTTAATTCGATTCTCCGTTTCAGCATGTCTTCAAATGAGGCGTACCACCGGAATAACGAGCCTGGCGCTGGTGGAGATGGCCCCTGTGAATCTGCTAGTGGATCCGCCGGAGGCAGTCAGCGGAGCAACCATCTGCACCACCAGCAAATACTCAACGAGACGACCTATCTAAAACCCGCCGCCAAGCAGGCCTACTTCAGCGATGAGAAGGTCCTCATACCCGATGATGATCGCACAAACGTGAGTTCAACCTAAATGACCAAGCTAAGCAAACTTAAACCATTACCTTATACTCTCCAGGTGAGTTTCAGCTTTCGCAAGCTGTGGGCCTTTACGGGACCCGGTTTTCTCATGTCTATTGCGTATCTGGATCCCGGTAACATTGAATCCGATATGCAGTCTGGTGCGGCAGCCAAGTACAAGATCTTGTGGGTCTTGCTCTGGGCCACTGTCTTGGGTCTGCTCATGCAACGCTTGGCTGCAAGGTGAGTGGGTCTCCACAGCCCCCCAATAAATGAAAATTAAAACTGTTTATGATTTCCCTTGCAGGTTGGGTGTGGTTACTGGCCTGCATCTGGCCGAGATGTGCTACAGACAGTACAAGCGTCTGCCGCGTTGGATCCTCTGGATAATGATTGAGATAGCCATTATTGGCTCCGACATGCAGGAGGTTATTGGCACGGCCATCGCCATATACTTGCTGTCCAATAAAGTGTAAGCAAATCTAATGCGCGTTATATTGCAATACTCAGTACTTATGCGGGTTTTCCCCTCTTTTGTAGAGTGCCTTTGTGGGGCGGCGTGCTGATCACCATTGTAGACACGTTCACGTTCCTGTTTCTGGACAAGTACGGCCTACGCAAGCTGGAGTTCCTATTCGGTTCCCTCATCACCATCATGGCTGTCTCATTTGGCTATGAGGTAAGTTCCAATCGAGTGCAAAAAAGTACTCAAATTTAGGTAGCCTCTTTGTTGTTAAAAGTAATCCCCGAAAACTGCGAAAAATTCCCCTGGCTAAGCGACAATAAAGTTGTCATGAGAACAAATTGCCAGACGTGAGTGCAAAAATAATTTGTTTAAACAATTGTGCTAAAGCGTTATGGAAAAAACACAGCAGTATCATTTTTATGCCTCGTAAATTTTAAATTTTCAGTTGGTAGCGGTTTTTTGTAATATTACTAATTTTCTGAAGCCAGCCCTTAAGCAAACTTCATTTACTCTTTAATTTACGACAGCGTCATGTTTACAGCCCAGATAATAAGTAATTGTACTTGAGCTGTCTGTCTTCAGTCGGTCATGCAGATGATTAGATAAGCAGCACTTGCACATTTTAAGGGGCTATGTACTGGGGATTCATGGTATTTCGTTTGTCGCTGGCCAGGCACATGATGCTGCCGGAAATGACAAACAATTCTATATGGGATAAATAATACCAGACCTTATCAATTTGATTATACAATGCAGAATTTTACAAATATCCATTGGGGATTTTCAGCGATTGTAAAACCAATGCAAAAAATATGTAAACCCTCGGGACTTTGAAAATATTTTTACAAATGAGAAAATTGTTTTCGTCATCCTTTGAGTTAATAA